CTCATTTATAACCTTTCGTTTGAATAACAAATATGAGAAAGCATCTATAATCTGTAGGAATTTTCGTCTGATATGGGAAGTCGTACTGTAAAGCGGATTGCTGATGTCTCAAAGCTTCGAAGTTATCAGTTTCCACAGGTTTTTTCTTTTTGTTTGTTTGTTTCTTTTACATTGGTCATTTCTCTAAGCTTGCTTTATTGGTTACAAGTTGTTATTTCTGCTCTAAGCCATTAACAACTTTATGAGTTACGTATATTGGACTGTGGTGTTTTTCAAAGTTCAATTTTTTTTTTTAAAAAGCTTATATATGCTCTTAACTTTCTAGGATGCGGGTCCTATGGCTCATCCTGTTCGTCCACATTCTTACATCAAGGTCAGAAACTTTTACCTTGTTTGATTACTACTAACACTTTTCTTTTCTCATATCATTATAAGCTGTGTTCACTTTGTCTCTTTCTTTCCTGTTAACAGATGGACAACTTCTACACAGGCAAGTTTTATTCTTTCTTTGAAACTTGTCAGAATTACAAAACCACACTTTCTTTTGGTGACATCAGGGTTTCATTTGCTTTCGAAATTATGGTGTTTTGGCTTTTATGGCAATCATGTTGTGCACGATTCTGATTGGGCAATCACTACATTCCAATTACAGTGACGGTACGGTTGGAAAATTTGCCTTTCTTTCCTTTCTATGATTGACTTTGCTTTGTTGTGTCACCATACTAATTATTTCTTGTATCCTTCCTTCGTTTCTATCAGGTTTATGAGAAGGTTTGTCCTGTTTATTACTATCCTTCCTCCAATTTCTTGCTTCATTTTTCTGTGGAGGAAACATCATTAATGCATCAATTTTTAATTCTCAGGGAGCTGAAGTTGTCAGGATGTACAAAACTCTATTGGGGAGTCAAGGATTCCGAAAAGTAAGATTTAAGTGTGTTTGAATCATGCATTTTCTTCTTCAAAGAAGATCGTCATCAAGCATTTACTTGCTAAAAATTCTCAATGCTTCAGGGCATGGATCTCTATTTTAAGAGGCATGATGGACAAGCTGTAACTTGTGAAGATTTTTTTGCTGCTATGCGAGATGCAAATGATGCAGATTTTGCCAATTTCTTGCTATGGTAGGAATTGCTATCTTGTCACTGGAGTTTCTAATTGATATTTACCCTGTAGAATATGTGAAATTTATCAGGTACTCACAAGCTGGGACTCCTTCTCTGAAAGTAACCTCATCCTATGATGCCGAAGCTCATACATTCTCTTTGAGGTTCAGGTAAAGATCTATTATTTTGTTGCTAGGGTCCTGATCCTTGCTCTTGATATTACATCCAAATGCTAACCTTGTGCTTTTATGGTTTCATTTGCAGTCAAAATGTACCGCCTACTCCTGGACAACCAGTTAAAGAACCCATGTTCATTCCTGTAGCGGTTGGTCTGCTGGACTCAAATGGCAAGGAAATGCCTCTTTCCTCTGTATATCACGCTGGTAAACTACAGTCTGTTGCTAACAACAATCAGCCAGTCTACAGTACAGTACTACGAGTCACCAAGGTCAGTGGAGAACATTGCGCTTGGAACATATTTCTAAGTTAATGTCATGATCAAGTCCATGCCAGGTGGCAAGAAGCTGGCATTTTCACGACATTTCTGTGTCTATCATGATTGACATTGCTTGCTTACATTCCTTAAAATTTGTACTGGTGCTTGACAGAAAGAAGAAGAATTTGTATTCTCAGATGTTGTTGAGAGACCTGTTCCATCCATCCTGCGGGGTTATAGTGCTCCTATTCGCCTTGAAACTGATTTGTCAGATAATGATCTGTTTTTCCTCCTGGCTCATGATTCAGATGAGTTCAACCGGTTTGTACTTCTTAAACTTAAGTCTTCTTTCATAAATTAATTAAGCTATTTTTGGGAGTTGTTCACTGTGTAATATTGATGTTAATGTTTCAGTTGGGAGGCGGGACAGGTCCTGGCAAGGAAGTTGATGCTCAGCTTAGTGGCTGATTTCCAGCAAGGTAAACCATTGGTTCTGAATCCGAAGTTTGTGCAAGGTCTCAGAAGCATACTCTGTGATTCAAGTTTGGATAAAGTATTTTCTAGAAGTTTCTCTGGGGAGAAAAACCTAAGATCTTTTTCCTTCTATTTCCATATTTTTTCTTTTTGTTTCTCTATTTTTGGGGAGCACGGAAGATCAATGCAAGTCATCTTAAATCACATCTTTTTATACAGGAATTCATTGCAAAAGCAATTACACCGCCTGGTGAAGGAGAGATAATGGACATGATGGAAGTTGCTGATCCTGATGCTGTCCATGCTGTTCGCACTTTTATTAGAAAGCAGCTTGCCTCTGAGATGAAAGCAGACCTTCTAACAACAGTATGCCATTTTCTGTGGAATTTCATTGAAATGATTTAATTCCTTCTGATTTACCTCTGAATGAATATACTATTTGGTCTCTACAGGTTGTAAACAATAGGAGCACAGAAGACTATGTATTTAACCACCCTAATATGGCAAGGCGTGCTCTAAAGAATATCGCTCTTGGTTTGTTTTGCATAAAATTTTGTGTTTTTAGAATTATTCTGATGAAACTGCAGTTTGTTGACTGTCTTTCGTTTATCTTAAGCGTATCTCGTGTCACTCGGAGATCCAGAATGTACTGAGCTTGCTTTGCACGAGTACAGGACTGCTACAAATATGACGGAGCAATTTGCAGCTTTGGCAGCCATTGCCCAGAATCCCGGTAAAACTCGTGATGATGTTCTAGCTGACTTCTATAGCAAGTGGCAGCATGACTTCTTGGTAAATCTCCAATTATAGCTCCTTAATTCCAGAGATTCATTTTTTCTTTTGGGGTTTGTTTACACTTTTTTGTGTTTGCACTTTCATCCTTAGGAGTCTTGACCCAATATCTGCTGCTGTAGACCAATTTTTTTTCTTTAACAATATAGATGCCATTACATCAGGTTTTAGTCATTGCCAATCAACCTAGATGACTTTAGAACTTCTTTCTTATTCCAAAATGATTATTTCTTTTCTTGTTCACACTCTGGTTTAGGTTTAAAACGTTTATAACTTATATTCACAGTGGTGAAAGGTTAATATCTACAGGAAAACCTCCATACTCGTATTCCTGTTGAATACTTTCAGCGTTCACTTGTCCTTTTTTTGTGCTTTATCAGGTTGTCAATAAATGGTTTTCCCTTCAAGCCATGTCCAACATCCCTGGCAATGTTGAGAATGTCAGAAACCTCTTAAAGCATCCAGCATTTGACCTGCGTAATCCAAACAAGGTGAGCAAAAGAACTCTTATCGGCGTTATATGGATGTTTAGTGCCAATATGCTTGGTGGTTCTAATCATGTCTTTTCCAATGTCATTCCTGTTGGCAAAACAGGTGTACTCGCTGATTGGAGGATTTTGTGGTTCTCCTGTGAATTTCCATGCCAAGGATGGATCAGGCTACAAGTTCTTGGGAGAATTGGTTGTGCAACTAGACAAACTAAATCCTCAGGTTCTTCTTAAAACCCACTGCCCATTGCATATTAGTGGTTATTGTTGTCTCTTTGTCTCTACTTCTGAAACATTTCCTTTTTTCTCTTGACTTAATTTGATGTTTCACCAACTGCAGGTGGCGTCGCGCATGGTGTCAGCCTTCTCCAGATGGAAACGCTATGATAAAACCCGTCAAACGCTTGCAAAGGTAAAGAGCTGGTGCTATTGTTTATAATACACTTTGCCATGTGATTACCATGTATCCCCAATGAGATTATCGGTTTTCCTTAATCTGCCAACTGTACTGGTTTTTAATGCCTGTGGCTTTTTAGCGCATACTTGTAAGTGATAGTACGACTTACGGATGAAATTATAAATGGTGGATGCAGGCACAGCTGGAAATGATAATGTCTAGCAATGGACTGTCAGAGAATGTGTTTGAGATTGCTTCGAAAAGCTTGGCTGCTTAAATAACATCCTTGCTCGCCTGTCACTCGGTTTTGTTTGGTGGCACAACTTGCAGGATCACAACATCATTGCCTATCGCAAAAATGCATGTTCTGCTCTTTATCTCCATGAGCATGTAATGATAATAAATCACTGCTGCTGCTGTTGGTTCCGGAACTTGGTAGATTATGGCTATGCTTTGGATATATAAGCCCTTTAATTATACATATTAAATTATATCAGAGGTGGGTTTTTATTGCAACAGGCATCAGCAAGGCTCCAAAAAAAGTAAAAATTTAAGATTCTAACAGAGTTGTTACTATAGTTTTATTTGAGACGGGTTAGTAATAAGAAATATGCCTTTGTTCAAAGTAGAATTAGAAACTGGGTTTCAAAAGTTATAGCCGAAGTGGGAAGATATAAGCAACTTATTTATCTGGGTAGATTTTTATCATGACTGGGAAAAAATTTACTTCATTCCTAAAAAATAATACCGATGGTACTAAGCACAGTCGAGGAGTACTGGTAAACCAGGTTTTGAAGGGAGACTTGTTGAAATGAAGCCAGTATGCAGATTGAAATGGAAGCTAAAGCAAGTCCAAGTAGCTACAACGAAGAAAAGAAAGAGGGAGTTCAATTTTACAAATTTGTTTCTTGAAACTAAAATTATCTAAACAGCATCAAATAGAAATCCCTTTGATGCAAAATTGAACTTCTAATCCCAACCATTAATTTCTACCATGCCAAGTGATAAGTTGGAATCAAGAGTATATGGAAATATTCGATGCATCATAAACACACAAAAACCAAAAAAAAAAAAAAATCATGTTAAAATATTCTAAACAAGAAATTTGTTTATTTAAAAATGATAATCAGTGTGAAAAGAACCCAAAGAAATCAACAAAAATGGGTAAGCTTTTTACAAGCCATAGTGGATCATTGACTCACTTTTTGTCACACACTAAAAATAATGCGGTACAAAAAGTTACCAAAATCATTTATTTGGTCTTCTCAAATTGTTTTATCTACTTCCTAAAAGTTCAATATTATTTTGAAATTTGGGCATAGTATAATTTTATAAATGATTATATTTCTATTAATTCATAAATTATACAATGAGAATATTATTATTACGTAAATAGTATTTATTTATTTTTACGTAATGAGAGAATTAATTATTAAGATTTCAAATAATTTTGAATTAGCGACAAATATTTAATATATAAATAATGACAAATTTTAATCTTTCCATGTTACTAAGTGAAATTTGTCAATATGAGTTGTGATTTTAACAATGAAGTTAAATATTGATTGATAATTCGTAATCATGGTAATAAAGAGTTAAATATTTAATATCGTGATCATGCAAACGGGAGTTAAAATATTAACCATATTAATATATAAATGTGATATGAACTAATTTTGATCTCCTGCTGTCGGTAATAAATTAACGTGCTATTTGTAATTATCGGATTCGTATCATTAGTTTACATCAGAGATATTTTTTTTTTTTTATTTATATAAACATGTATATTTAAATTCAAGATATGAAAATATATATATTTTCAAGCATATCTTTAACGAGATTTTATATATATAAAAAAAATACAAATTAAGAGTTCAAAAAATTTATTTTGAGTATATGTATTTATAAAAGTAGATATATCATTTTTTTTTTTTACACGACAACAACTAACTATGAAGTATTAATTATTTATAAATTGACAAGCTTATAAATTATTATTTTTTTCTTTTTAAATTTTAAATATGAGACTTATATTGTGAGAATTTTAGAATAAAATTGTCACAACTTATATGATTAGTAAATTTTATATATTTGTATGAATATAAAATTGTGAGCGTTACATATTCTATGAAATAGAATGGGACTTAACTAATAAAAAAATTTAAGTTCAAAACTTTTAATTTCAATTGTAGATGGTATTATAATTATATAATTACTTTCTATATATAAACATCATGTGATGGGATAAAAATTGAAGAATAAATCAGCTAAATATAATAATTTTTTTTTTTTATTAGAAATTATATTTCCTTTGAAAATAAGCTACGAGCATTTTGTCATGAAGAGAGAAGTTTGTTCTGGCTTATCTTATTGGCATGAAAGGTTCAGTGAAAGGTCCGGTTTTAAGTGCTGTTTGGTTGTTGAGAGAGAAAGTCCAAGCTTGAAAAGAAGGAAGACCTGAGACAATTATAAAAGAAAGTTTTAAGGGTCATAAACGACAGCGTTTTTTTTATATCACGGGCGATGTGTATGTATGGGCTAGGTAAGAGGTAGGAAAAGCAAGCATGACTTCACTGTGTGTGGACCCAATTGGTAATCTGAATCTCTTAGTACTCTCCTCCGTAAACAATGATTTCTCAAAGTGTCAAAGCTAGGCTACAACCCAAAAAGTCTCTTTTGGTTTCTCCATACCTTTCTAATTTCTTTTTACAAATTTTCTTGGCCACGTGGGTTTTTTTTTTTTTTTTTTTTTGGTGCAAGCAACTTTTTTAATGCATGAATTTCACATATTAAGTAATTAACTTTTGTTGTTTAAAAGAATCACACGAAGGTAATAACCTTTTTGACATGTTTGGAAATGAAGCAGAGTGGTAATTTTGAACACCAATTGGGTAGTATATTCTCATGTAATAAGCACTTATTATTATTATTATTGTCTTTTGTGAAAGTTTCCATAAATTTAGGCACGTTTGATTTAGACAAAAAATATTAAGTTGTAGATTAATTTTTTGAATTAATAATATGATGAGGTTTGCAATCTCAATTTCTCCTTTGCCCCATTAACTTCAGAGTAATCCTGGAATTCTAAATTAATGAAAATAATTTTGTAAAGGTGGGTGGGGCCAATCGACGAATTTTAAGGGATTGGACCGGGCCCCACTTTTCATCATCACAGCCATGGACAAGTGTACGTCCACACGTGTGTCCCTTTTGACAATTACAATAAAATTTATTTATTATTTATTCAACCAACAAAACTAACGCTTTCTCCATTTCATTTACCAAAATGCCCTCCAACCCTCCACAAATTACAAACCCACTCCCTTCCTAAATCAACAACCAATCTCATATTTGTAAATTTCAAAATTAATTGTTTCATATCTTTATTTTTATTTTTTGGTCATGAAAAATGATTCTTTTTAATTTTTAATATAAATATGTACAATCATATAAAAAAATCTTTAATTATTATTTAATTAATATTTTGGAGTAGGTTAAGTTACAAGCAATAAAAAAAAAATGCACGTTTTTTATATTAATTTGCATAACTTTTTTTTTTTTTTTATAAAAAACAAACACTGTATTATGTAATATAATAATAATAGTAATAATTATGATGATAATAATTGAGAATTAATAATTTTTAATAAATAAAATAAAAAATTCTTATTTAATTATATTGGCATTTCGTGGGTTGGGTGAAGCCCCACCACCACGCATGTTGTTGCAAAGAGTATTTTGATCCGGTCAATTAAATAATTTATTATTCTTTAAAAAAAAAAAAGAAAAAAAATTAAAATCTCACGTGCAAAATTAGAAAAAGGGGGCATGTGAGTAAATACGAGCAAAATACAAGGGTATATTAGTAAAAGTAAGATTAGTATTCGATTAACGAAAATTAAACCTTAACATAAATCCGGGTGGATCTTGGATAATCAAGTCATTGCCGTGTTTGACCTCTAAACCGTTACTTACACACAACATATATGTATACATAAGAGGGGAGAGAAATTTGCAGAACAAGATTTAAAAGCGAGAAAGCGAGAAAAGAGATTATCATTTATGGACTGATAAATTTTCTTTTCTAATTTAGGTTGGCTACTTCTACAAATCATACTCACCACCTTTCTTCTTCCATGGCTTGATCATGATCTTTTCTTTGTCTCGTCAAATTTCCTCATTCCTTTCCCGGGATTTTTGAAAGGTATAACCGGAAAGATTCGATTGTTTCTCGGGAAAATTGCGTCCTCCTTGAGCAGGAAAAGAGCTGAAAGAAAGCAGAGATGAGAAGTGCCAATGGAGACTCCAGAGCTGTAACCCCGACCGCTTTGGAAACTATAAACGCTGCTGCTACTGCGATCGCTTCAGCTCAGAATCGTGTTCCTCAAGCTACGGTTCAGGTCACATAATTTTCCAACTTTATTTCTTATTTTTTCCTTTTCTTATTCTCTTTTTTATTTCGTCGTCTTAGTTGTTTTTTCTTTTACTGAATTTGAGTATTTTTAAGTGTTGTTTCTTTTTAGATTAAATTATAAGCTTTGAGATCTGTTGATTTTATTTCCTAGTTTGATATTTTCTTATTGTCTATCTGTATTGGATTTTCGCTGCCCGGAGTTGTGTTGATCATTGTTGACTGTAGCATGGCCTGATGTTGATTGATTGTTTTGTTTAATCATTGCACAATTGTTAACCATGCTATTTTCTGAAGTTTTCTCTTTTTTCCTTCCGGAAGAGATTGTCACTGTTTCCAGAACTAAAATTTTTGAGACACTTGAATGTTATCACCTATTGTTGTTGCTGATTTTTCATGAGGGGCTGACCTGTTTAGGAACAGAGCGTGTGGTTTCGGCTCAAGAGTTTGATCACCTTTTACATGTATTTTTATGACATGGGTACACACAGGGTTTAACCTATTTGTTGATTTGAACTTCTGGTTTTGTCTCAAATGTTGTGAATAGCGTAAATTTATTTCTTGTCATACTGTTGCAATAAATGTCATTTCTTCTTTGGTTTTATAATCACCTTAATCTTGTAAGATCTTCAAAAGCACAAAATTTCAGTCCCTGGCTCCACTAAAGCAGAATGAAGAAGAAATTTATGCTGAAGTGAATCAGTTCTAATTTCCTGTGGTCTGTTCCATTCAGCTCCGTTATACAATAAAACAGTTGTTCAAAAAAAATTGTCCTCTTACAATGAGTTTAATACAAATTCCAACTCTACGGAACAGAAATGAAAATTTAATACAAAACATAATAAAAATTTAAATGAAAGTAGATAATTTAATGTCTAATTCAATATTAGGTACTCTTGCAATTGCTTCCATGACAATTAAAATTATAAATACGTAGTTGTGAATTAGTTATAATTACACTTGATTTAGTTATGCATCAGACATATAAATTATGACTAATTTCTAATAAAGGGAATACCATAAGTTTAAAACAGAATATTGGTGTTTTTCTTTGTTTTTTTCTTGTTTACTATAAATACTGTGTACACCCATTTCGCCAACAGTTTTTCTTTCAACATAACTCTAGGGATAATCTGTCAGCAATTGGAAAATGCTTTTTCCTCTGGTTATTTCTGAGATGATGAATCGGTGTTGGAGTAGAGTTGGATTCTAGATTTGGAGTTTAGCAATAAAGGGTTATAGTAGAAAACTGCTTTGTCTTCTGAACGAAAGAGTTAGCAGAGCTAATATAAGGGACCTATATTTTCTGATGATCTTTGTGTGGATTAGTTAGGTAATACTAATGGAGTGACAGCAAATGACAAGCCATAATTCAATGCCGCTTAGATATCTGCAAATTTATGTTTCCTTCACAACCACAAGTGCATGAACTTTTGCAGCTGGCGCTAAATTTTAGATATTTGTCATCATCTTCTTTGCTATTTGGGTTCCTTCTGTATCATGGACATAGAATAAAAATAGGAAAACATCCATACAATTCGACAAGTACGCCAACTGTTTGTATTTTAATATGAGTACACAGATCTGCTGCAGTCCTGAGTGTCCAACTGGTGAAAATCATGTTCTGGTGCACTAGATTCTCTCTAGCTTCAGTCAGTTAGATTCTCTTGCGGTCATATCTCTTTCATTTTGTAAATTATAGCCAAGTATAGAAGGTTGAATTAAAAACGGGATCATACAATTCCTTTTGTTGGCTTGTTTATTTCTTTTTTTTAGTTCATGAAAATGTGGAAGGCCAGTTCATCTCAGTTAGGAAGATATATAAACCTCCTTTCTGATAGACTTCTTTGATCATATCATGTAGGAATATGGATTGGCTATCAAGTATTATCTGCAATTTTCTTTTCCATGAAATGATCCGAAGTCCTGGAATAAGGCCAAACTGTAATTAGAAAAGCCATAACTGAATTGCCTTTTATCAGTTGCTGTTATTGATTGTTATGTTATGCTTTGACATATGAAACTGGAAGCATGGGGATTAAAGTTTTCAGGGAAGACAGAATGGAAGAAAGTGGGCTGTATAACACATGTTTGATCCAAAATGTTCAGTCTTTTCTAATTTTGCCAGTTTTTTCTTCTCTCTTTCACTCTTCCTCCCTCATCTCTGCTCGGTTTGTCATTTTAGTTCTCACCTTCTTATTAAGGTCTTTTCTTCTTTACTACAGACTGTTTGCTACTGTCTTCAACTTTGTCTTTCAACTAGATGTATAATCTTTATATTTACTGTCTAAAAATTTGTTGAAATTAATTATGTTTTCTCTAGGTCGTGTCACTCAAGTGTATGTGTGTTGGAAAGGGGATATATCTTCATATTGCTCACTCCTCTTTATGCTTAGCAGGGGACTGTTTGGAGTCATTTTCCTTTTATTTTTGTATGGGATTCAGAGGTGTCGTTAATTAATCCTTGTTTCCTAGAGCTTTTGGACAGAAACACTAATCAATGAACGTCATAGTTTTCCAAAGAAGAAAACCTTTTTTTTGGCACTATATTTTATTCTCTTCTTCTTGGCTTCTTGGAGAAATGGATTGACCTTTGGGACGCATAATGACCAAGAAGATGAACTTGGATTTGTAGTAAACATAAAAAATATCCTGAAATTGTTCTTGATTAATGTAGACACTGATGGGTTAAGAGTCATTCTGGCAACTTCAGGAACAGAAAAAGCTATTGAGCATTGAAAAACATTATTGCATAAAAAAGGGGGTGAGATAGGTGAGTGTATTATCCTAAAGTAGTGTGAAAAATAGAGTAAAGGCTAAAGAGGATACTTAGTTTTATCTGTTAGTGTATTCTTTGTGCACGCAATAATTGGAACTATTTTTGCTGTTTTGCTATAAGTGGCATGACGTGGCAAATCAGCAGAGCAAGAGTCTAAGAGGAATTACTGAAGTGATTACTCTCAGTATATTGATTTAGCAAAGTGATCTGAAGTGCTTTTGCTGCTCATTCAATAAATCATTCTCAAACCAGAGAACAATTTACCTCTTCATGGAGTTAAATTTGGTACCTTCCACGTCTGATGCCAAGGAGTTTCCCTGTTTATAGTTCGGCTCTCCATGACTTCGAGTACAGAAGACATTAGTGAACTGCAAACTTCCAAGATTGCCATATCACAAATCATAAATTTTTCCTTTTAACTTTTTTTTTGCAATTATTGTGTTGATCATATATTGTTTTAATTGGTAAAAGATTTACAGAGCTTCTGTTATCTGTAAGGTTTTTTTTCTTCTTTCCGTCCTCAATTTTAGTAGATATCAGCTACTTGATTCCTAATTAGAAGGAAGTTACTTTAGCGTTATGTATTGACTAATTTCCATTAATTCTTTTATCTGTGCAGAGGAGAAGATGGCTTAGCTGCTGGCATTTGTACTGGTGTTTTGGATCTCACAAACACAGAAAACGAATTGGTCATGCTGTCCTTGTTCCTGAAACAACAGCCGTCAGGTCTGATGTTCCTGAAGCTGGAAATCCGATCCAAGCACCTGCTATAACACTTCCTTTTGTTGCACCTCCCTCCTCTCCTGCATCTTTCCTGCAATCAGAACCTCCCTCTGTTACCCAGTCTCCAGCTGGCTTGTCCCTCTCTGTGTCTGCAAATATGTATTCACCAGGTGGGCCTGCTTCTATTTTTGCAATTGGCCCTTATGCTCATGAAACCCAATTGGTTTCACCACCTGTTTTCTCAACCTTCACCACCGAACCTTCAACTGCTCCTTTTACTCCTCCCCCTGAATCTGTCCACTTGACTACACCATCCTCACCTGAGGTGCCATTTGCTCAGCTACTTGACCCAAATCTCCAGAATGGTGGGTCTGGTTTGAGATTCCCATTATCCCATTATGAATTTAACTCGTACCAACTTCATCCTGGTAGCCCAGTTGGCCAATTGATCTCACCTAACTCAGGGATATCTGGTTCAGGCACTTCCTCACCTTTCCCTGATGGTGAGTTTTCTGCTGGCACCCTCCTGTTTCCTGAGTTCCGCATGGGTGATCCTCCTAAGCTCTTAAAGCTTGATAAGTTTTCTAGATGTGAATGGGGACCGGTGCAAGGTTCTGGAACTTTGGCATCAGATGCTGTCAAGTTAACACCTTGCAATGGTTTTCTGCTGAATCCTCAGATTTCAATGGTTCCATCAAATCCACCCCCAGGCAGTGGATGTTGTAACAACCAAATTGTGGTTGATCATAGAGTTTCATTTGAGTTAACTTCTGAGAATGTTGTAAGATGTGTGGAGAAGAATCCTAGAACCTTGTCTGGAGATGTACCAAAATCTCTACATAATGAAGCAGCAGTAAAAAGACAAGAAAAATCAAGTGAAGTGATAGACAATAGTGAGCATTCTCTAGGTGAAACATCAAATGGAACACCAGTAGAGGCGCCAGAAAACGGGGAAGATACAGCACAGCAGCAAAAGCATGGGTCAATGACACTCAGTACTATTAAGGAATTCAATTTTGACAATATAGATGGAAGAGATTCCCACAAGTCGATTGCAGGTTCTGACTGGTGGGCTAATGAGAAGGTTGTCGGAAAAGAGAGTGGGCCCACTAGGAACTGGTCATTCTTCCCTGTTATGCAGCCAGGTGTTAGTTGAGGTAACGGTAAGGGTTTCACTTAGTGCCCTCTTTGTTCCAGGAAGAATGGAACAGAAAACATTGACAGTCCTAATTCAAAGGATAGGCAAACTTGGGCTTTTATTAGAGATTATAGGGCTTACCTATTCATGAAGGCTGTTTTGTAGTCCTTCAACTAGAATAAAACAAGAGCACAGAAGAATCCTTTGCTAATCTAATTTGGATAACGGGCTACATGTAGTCCTCTCTGGTGGAGGCAGGGTCTCAGATTGATAGCAGTTCTTAGGCATGCACCTTCACTCGTCCGAATGTAATTACTGCATTTAGAGAAGGAATACAGATTAACAGCAGTTTCTTAGTTATGAATCTTCGTCTTTCCCTAATCTAACTAATGACAGTGATCAACAATAATTTGAAGGAGGAAGATGAAAGATTAAACATTCTGGTACCTGGATGCTCTTTTTGCTAACTGATTCATGGGATTTCTCTTCTCTCAACGCCCAAATGCAGCTACAGCTTTGAAATTGGAGTGCCTAGTTAAAACTGTTATGTTTGTTTAGCAATTTCCCAACGAGGTTTGTGTCCATCAAATGTACAAACCCAGAAGAAAGGCTGTCTCTGATTTTTGTAGTGTTATCAACATTGTTATACTAAGCAGATATCCAGTTTGTAAAACTTTTAGTCCAATGACTTCCTATTGCTGGAACTACTACTTGCCTTATTTCTTTATTTATTTTTTATTTTGTAAATTATTTGCTTGATAGGTAAAATCAGAAACGTAGAAAATCCCAGTTTTAGCGGAAGCAAGCAGGCAAAGGCAATTCCAATTTCCTTCAACAAGTAAGGCATTGAAATTTGTTGAGTGAGGGAAATTGCAATCGGGTAAGCACATGATAGTCCAAACTTGACTGCTATGATAACCAAAAGTATATTTTCAGGTGAGAAATCTATTCGAATTTAAGTTTAATTTCTAGTTGACTTAGAGAAAAAAAAAAGAAAGAAAATCCGCAGCAAACGATAGCTCTAATTGGTAATTTATTAACAAAAATTACAGCCAATGGTAGCTCTGATTACTAACTTAATTAACAAATTTTTTGTTAATTAACCCCTAAACCAAAACTATAATTACATTACTTGGGAGTTTTTGACCTTCCAGAAACGACAACTAGAATCAAACCCAGCTTCTTCTTATGTGCCCTCGTCTCGTCTCCGACTCCACAACACTCATAACCTTTCATTACTTACAAATTTAGGGTTTCTTCGTGTGCTTGGAAATTCCGAGGGTTTCTCGCATCACAGGTGTTTCAGTGGAACATCTGGGAATTAAGTTATGCCCCCATTTGTTACGGCTATGAATTCTTCAGACGGGAAACCAGAATCCAACATACTCACCATTAATGTCGGTGGCCAAATCTTCCAGACTACAAAACACACCCTTGCCCTAGCTGGTCCCAGTTCCCTCTTCTCCCGCCTCGCTGACCCAACTCAGCTTGGCCCCAGGTTCGTCGACCGAGACCCCGATTTGTTCTCCGTCCTTCTCTCTCTTCTCCGCACGGGCAATCTTCCATCCAAGGCCAGAGCTCTTGATCTTCAAGACCTCATCGAAGAATCCAAATTCTACGGCGTATATTTGCTGTTGCTTAATTCTTTGTCCAACCCTTGTCAATTTGATGCCTTCAATCTCGAAAAATCCCAGCTTTTGCTGTTGAACGGCAGGGATTCGCCTTCCACGATCGCCACGACGCCCCATGGGACCCTCCACGTCGCCCACGGTTGCAAGATCACCTCATTTGATTGGTCTTTGAGACGTAAATCCACCATCTTGACCCACTTCTCTGCTGTCGATTCTCTTTTAGCTCTCTCTCCGCAGATTGCAGCTGCCGGGGCCACAGATTTTTCTGGTCTGCAAATACTCGATCTTGACAGCGGCTTCGTTAAAAAAACTTTGAGTTGGGAAAATGTTACCAAGTCTGGTTCTACTGTTCAAGCAATTGGTTCTTCACCTGAATTTCTCTTTACTAGTTTTGAATCGGGTCGAAGAAACTCGAATACGATAATGGTATATGATCTGCATACCTTAAGCCCTGTCATTGAGATTGGTCACTGTGAGATATATGGTGCTGATATTGACTCAGCTATACCAGCCACCAAATTGAGCTGGGTTCCTAGTAATAGTTTGCTTATGGCATCAGGGTCTCACAGCGGCCCATCAGGTGTGACGGGTAACATAAAGTTTTGGGATATAAGGAGTGGGAATGTAGTCTGGGAGATAAAGGAGAAGGTGGATTGCTTTTCAGATGTTACTGTGTCTGATAACTTGTCAGGAGTTTTTAAGGTTGGTGTTAATTCAGGAGAAGTTTGGTATGCCGATCTAAGGAAGTTAGGAGCTGAGAATCCATGGGTTTGCCTTGGTGATAGGAGGAAGATGATGAATGGGAAGAAGGAAGGATACAAGTGCAAGATTGAGAAGCAGGGAAATCAAGTGTTTTGCAGTAAGGGGGGGGAAATAGAAGTGTGGTCTGAGATATTGATGGGTTCATCAAGTAGTAGAGAAGATGGATTGGAAGGAAGGGTTTTTAGAAAGAATTTGATGGGGAGAGGCAAGGACTTGGGAGGAAACAGGATCACTAACTTGGCTTTTGGTGGGAACAAAATGTTTGTGACAAGGAAAGATGAGCAGTGTGTAGAGGTTTGGCAAAGTACAGTGAGAGGATTCTGAAGCACCTAATCGGAATTGGCATTAGGGGAACATCAGTTCTTTGTAGATCACTTCTTGATTCGTTTGATTAAATTTTTCATTCTGAACGATTATGTAGTTGTAATTTAGCAAGCCTGTAATTGTTCATAAAGGATTAGTTCTATTCAGGATATTTACTAATTCCCTAAAATGCTTCCCATCACACTCTTATTTCATTAGCCATTTCATAAATGAGACAGACAAGATTTTTATGGATATACCCAGGTTTCTTACCTATTTCGTGATTAATACCATGTTTGGATTGTTTGGGTTCAGGGAAGGAAAGAAGAAAAAGAAATAGAATGCTCATGCTCGCCTATGTTTCCTATGGGATCATCCTCCAATTTAGAACCCTTCGTGTCTTAGGTTCTTTGGTTTTCAGGTTAGGTTCTGCTTAGTTATGGATAATGCATAGGAATAAATCCATAAACCGTCAGATTCAAATTCACTTGCTCTATCATGTTCTTGTTCTTCAGAAAAATTTGGATTCAGGTGTGTAATTGGTACACCTGACGGGTTGAGTTAATTTTTGAGTTTATGATCATAAAAATTTGTTCCACCTGAGTCACTTATATACAATAATAATAAAATATTTTCTAAACTTTTGAAAAGCTTAAACGTCCCGACTAATGCAGCTTGTTCATGTCGTCCCCCACAGCCTACTCTCAGTCAGTGTACAATCTCTGTCTTCTTTCAGCTAATTTCACATGCTGCTTCACAGTGGCATCGCTAATCACCATTCTTGATTCTTTGGTCTATCCTTGATAATTCCATTTTCAACTAGCAGCCAGCAAAATTTAGTCTGGACCAAAAAAATGAGACTGGATCGGTCCACATGCATTCAGATTCTTGATCCAGAAAATTAAAAACCAAAAATACTGGTTCATTCCTGTCTGATCCTAGTCGATCTAGTCGCGTGAATCTTTTAGATATAATAAACCAAAAAGTATATTTTAATCAAAATAAATAAGGCTTAATAGCAATTAGAATGTTCATCTCAATCTCGAAATATTTTCTCAACTTTAGCTTTAGTCTGGGTACGGAGTGATCCAGTCTAGTTTGATCCAGCTTTCAGCTTCTTAACAACAGCTCTATTTTGAACCAAAATCTCTGTAGCTCTACTTACACTTTTAGCTAATTCCAACTCTCAGAAATAATTTCTTCGTGTTTTTTGGAAATACGAAAAACTAAGGGAGGATAGGCGAGCTTTTCCCTCTCCATTGGTGGATAAACCTAAGTTTTTTGTTGGTAGAATGACTGTCTGGACTTTATGGGAGGACAGATTCTCTATTGGAGGATTCTTTACCCATGCATACATATATGTATATGTATACATACATATATATGTACACACACACACACACACACATACAAGTAAATGTTGGCTTAACTACCTTTTTGATCCTTGGACATTAACCCTCATCTCCTTCCCTTCCATGGCTCAATCTTTGTCCATCTTCCTCTTCAGCCCCAATTACAATCTAGGCTTTAATCATGCCAGACATTCTTCTTCAAAACTATATAACATATCACTATTGCCTGATTCAAGGTGGTATAATTAATTTTTTTTCTTATATCAAAAATACTAAAATAAAATTATTATTTACACATCAAATATCACGTGACAATATTTTAACGTAGAAAAATATACAAGTAAATGATATTACGTGTTTAAATCTAGTGGCATGTGACTTATATACATGGCTTTTGAAAATGTAAAGAATAAGAAAATAAATAAATATTGTAAAAATCAAATCAAACTGATATTACATGTCAAGTCTAATGATACATGACAAATATATTAACAGCATTAAATTATCGTGCAAAAATTATAAAATTTTTAAATCTCAATTCTTTTAAACTAACCAAGACATGTCAATTCCAACTAACTATAGATGATAATTATTTAGTAAAAAATGACATCCACATTTTCATATAGATATGGATACTTGATATCTAATGATAGAAGAACTACTAAATAATCAATAGTCAAGTCATCACTTTATTAATTATTTAGATAGTAAAGTTAAATTTTTATAATATTATTTACTATTCAATTTAGTGTTACCAAGTCATCTTAGAATTATAACAAAATAAATACCATGATAGACCAATAAATAAGACCTCAAATAGGTACACGAAATACAAAAAAGTATCTAAGAACTTTTATGAATGTGTAGTAATACTATATTTGTTATATTGTTCTTATTGTTTTTTACTTGATTTAATTAATTTGGGTATTAGAATAACCTTATGGAATCAAATTTCGGAATACTAATTTGTTTCTTTCATGTAAATAATTTACTCATATACTTAATATCCTTTAGCTACCAAACTCAATGTCCTCAACCAATATGGTATATCCTTATCTATTATATTTGCTACTAAATCCAAAATTTCTAGTTACTAAGTATGACATTATCATGTTAGCAAGTTACTTCTTTGTCATGTTCACGAGTTACTTATTTATCAAAATTAGAAATTCTAAGATGATCAACAATTTCTCTATTTCTTAATTTGTCTTTGGTCAAAATTAATATTGATATGCATTATATGTTTATATATTCAAATTGTTTAGTCCATGTATCTACCAATTATATAAATATTTAAAAGTAGAATCTATATACATTCTATTAAACATAGTTATATAAATATTGATATTCAATATCTTATTATAATATATAGAATATATTTACATATTACACATAAAATCGACGGATTCAAAAGATGAGATGAGTTAACAGTAGATTTAAAAGAAGTTTTGTAACTCTGAAATAATTTTAATAATACCAACATATATAACATAAAATATTAAATTTTTTAAAAAAATTAATCTTAACCATCTACATGTCTAGAGTTATAATGTAAAGGCTTGAAAACTTAAAAAAAAATGAATTTATAATTTAAATGTAAAAACGAATAATAATATTTAGAGTTTACATTCCTTATACATTAAATTGAATTGTCCAATAAGCCTATAGAAATGCCCATTCTACATGATTCATAAAAAATAAACAATAATTAAAGAAAAACGAATAAATAAGTATCAGAGGACAACCTTCATTAGTACTTGAAGGAAGTTCAGAAGGTGAACTACTCACAAATATCTTACTGATATGGATATGGATTTTAGTATTCTTAATCTAAATTGGTTAATGAAACGGTGAACTACACTAACTCAGCAAGAATATCACATTAATCACTGATACAGAAAATCTAAGGTTGGTAAAAATCAGAAAATAGCTAATAGAGCTCTTACTTTAAGTAAATACATTTAACTTTAAAACTTTTTATTCGATACTTACTGTTACAGTTTTTTCTAAAATCAACCTATGAGGACAATTAACCAAATAACATTTCAATTTCATGCAGAGAATCAGTAATCCTTCATTTTTTAATCAACTTACTGGGACTCCTGGGGGTTTATAGGGATATCACTCTTGTAAAAGTCCCGAAAATTAAAAGAAAATGTATATATTAAATTCTAAGTGCGGAAGCGAAATAAAATAGATTATGATTAACATCCCTTACACAATAACCAAAACGAATTAAATGTATGAAAGAATAAACTAACTTAAAGGAAATACTATGAATGAATGCTATAAGGAAAACTAATAAATTCTTTGGCTTCTACTCGCCGTCTTCTTACAGAACGGGCTCGGGAACCAAGACCTCCTGATCTGAAATGGTTAAGTAAGGAATGAGCTACACTAGCCCAGTAAAGACATCACACTATCTCACTGTCACAGAAGTAAAGGTTGGTAGAAAACAAAAATGACCAATGAAGCATAATTTATAACAAACTCATTTATCAATAATAAAAACCTTTACTGTCCACTTACCTCAGTGAGATTCATGAAAATAACTTATGAGAAACAATAACATCATAAACATCATAAAATCATGCACACTATGTAACATAACACATATCATACTTTTGTATTTCAATCATCAGACAACAATTTTCTTCTTTTATCAGCCTACTAGTATCCATGAGAATCCATAGGGGGTCCCCGCTACACGTGAACCATTCACATTAATAACTTAATTTCAGGGCCGTCCCCATACCCCGTCCAGTATGGGCGCCAAAACCATAAACCTCAATATCCCATCCGGTATAAGGGTAAAACGGGTCGTTTCCATATCACGTCCGGTATGAGCGCCAAAACACATAAAGTCTCCATACTCCGTCCGATATGAGAGACCACGTTCCCGGTAGGGTTCCCTATGGACCCGGTCCGTCCACCATCTCCCAAGATATCTAGTGAGACTGTCGACATCGTCCATTTATCAATTCACATACATTTTTCTATTTTTCTTAATCTCAATTATCTAATCAAACATAAACACGTAAACTAGTAATGGACACCAAACAAGGCAACACAACATCAGGTTCACAATAATTCAAACCATAATAAATAAAACCATAATTTATGCATTCAAAATCATAAAATAAATAGATCAAATACCATAATGCATTTAAAACTGTAAAATAAATCAAACAAGAACAGACCGATAAATACATCAGGTTCAGGCCCAATTAGTAATCTTAATTAATTATACATATCTATTAATTCATAGAATACCGTTTTATCATTTATTAAGCTTTAATGCCGTGATAGGAAATAGGGTGAGAGATCCTTACTTATTTCGGAGTCTGAAATCGAGTTCTCACTGCGCCTATGGGCAGTCTCTACATTCCCTGAATTTTTTTCCGAAAACTAAAACACACTTCCGGTACCTGCACATGTCCCCAAAAAATTCTAAATCAGACCCAGGGCCCTTTCGGCCAATTTTGGAATTCCGGCACGGTGGCGGCGCCGCTGCCCACGGCGGCGATCCGCCTTGGGTTGGCCATTTCTGGCCGTTTTTGGCCGAATTCGGCAAAACTTGCATTGGTTCTTGTGATAAAACACCCCTAGGGCCCTCGGTGGGCCAAAATATTCCAGAAAATTGAGACTTACCGGCAGCAAAGCTCCCGGGTGTGGCGGCTCCTCCGGTGCGAGTTGCGATTTGGTGTTTTGTTCCAGTCAACCTGTAGAGAAAAGGACGGTGGTCACAGTGGTATAAAAATTACATCGAACGGGAACCGGGAAGGGCCTCATCGGAGGTAAAAACTGAGAAAATCCGCGGCGGTATCGCTGGACTTCG